TTTATTAGGATGCGCCGTAGCATAATTCCAAATTCAATCATATTTGTCTGCGTAGCTCATTTCTTCACCGATCATCGAACGAGAACTAGACAAAAGTGTACAGTACCATTTGCAAAATTATTTAAACTGCCTCGTTAAAATTTAAGAATATGCTTTATTTAAAACCATTTTTAGCCAAAAATGATAACAAGTGAATTAACTTAACGCTCTACACACCTATAAAACTTTTGCTTTGTTTTCTATTGTTAATTTATATGCATTTTTGTTTTAAGAAATTGCTAAACATTTTCGTCTAGTACTGTACATTTCTAGCCGATCTTCTAAGACCGCCAATCGAGAGCTCTGCTCGTTCAAGCTTGTTCCGACTATTTCTGTCTTGCTCACGCCTAGTGTGTATTCTTTCTATCTTTGCGCAGATTTCTTCAAGGTCACAATTCAAACAAATTGAAATGGGCTGTACTTCCCTTTAAACTAGATCCATGAAATTTGGCAAGGAGCAAAGTGTTTTAGCATAAACAAAGGGAAAAATTTGAAATCCTTTTCCATTTACTACCTCTACTTCAGGGGTCGACAAATACTTTTAGGTGAGGTCCGGATTCTTTTGAAAATTTTTATGGAGGTTCAAGAAAAACACATTCCTTACAAAATTTTTTATTTTCACTCACAAAATGCATTCGATTGTACAGGGCAGATACACAGACATAACATGTTGTCCCATCCGGCCAGCTTGCTTCCTTCATAGGGGTAGCACTAATACAAAGTTCGTATTTCTTTAAATAATTTATTTAAATAGTCTATATTTTCCCGAATTCTTTGGCGGTCCAGTTTTTGACCTTCCGCGGTCCGCACCTAGGCCGCGCTCCGCCAGTTGCGGACCGTTCCTCTAGTTTGCCGTACTTTTCTAGATATTTTACTGTTTCTATCTATAGGGTTGTTCGGAAAGTCATTTCGTTTCTTTTTGTGGAAATGAAAGACAGTTTTCGTATAATAAACAAATACTTTATTAAATTATATATTGACCGTTCTGGTCCAACACCTTTTGCCATCTTTCTGGTAGTAGCATAATTCCACGCTCATAAAATTTTTGGTCTTTGCTGGCAAAAAACTGATCGAGGAGGTTTTTGACCTCCTCATTTGAGGTGAAGGTTTTACCGTCTAAAAAATTTTGGAGTGACCGGAACAAATAATAATCCGATGGTGCCAGGTCTGGAGAATATGGTGGGTGTAGCATTGTATCCCATTCAAGCTGTAAAAGCTTTTGGCGAGTGACCAAACTTGTGTGAGGTCTCGCGTTGTCTTGGTGAAACACTACACCTTTCCTGTTGATTAGTTCTGACCTTTTCTGTTGAAGTGCATCATTCAGTTTGTCCAGCTGATGACAGTAGACTTCCGAATTAATCGTTGTGTTATCCGGTAAAAGCAAAAAAAAAACGATTCCTTTAAAATCCCACCAAACAGACAGCATCACCTTTTTTTGGTGAATATCGGCTTTGGAAATGGTTTGAGCCGGTTCATCTTTTTTGCTCCATGACCTCTTGCGTTTGACGTTGTTGTATACAACCCATTTTTCGTCCCCAGTGATGATGCGCTTCAAAAACGGATCATTTTCGTGACGTTTGAGAAGCGAATCGCAGACGTCAATGCGGCGACACAGATTTCTCTCTGTGAGAACATGGGGAACCCATACATCGAGCTTCGAGGATAATCCCAGGCCTTTCAAGTGGTCATAAACTGTTGAATTTGATAAATTTAACCTCAATCCGATCTCACGTGTTGTTATTCGCCGGTTCACATCAACTAATGCCTTTATCGCGTCTTTATCAGCTTCAACCGGCCTTCCCGAACGTGGTGCATCTTCGACATCAAAATTGCCGGATCGAAATTTAGCGAACCAGTTCTGGCACTGGCGTACTGTCAACACACCTTCTCCATACACATCAGTCAATTTCTTTCTGGCTTGAACAGCATTTTTACCCTTTCTGTAGTAAAACAGTAAGATATGTCGAAAATGCTGCTTATCGCTCTCCATATTTAAAAGGGCACCAACCAAAAACTACTGCGTAGAATTAATTGGAATTTTTCACACACAAGCCTTGCTATATGAGCTCTCAAAGCATATAAAAATTATACGGCTTAAATGTGAAGTTGGGTGCAAAAGAATACAATTAAATCCTCTGTCGGAAAAAAAAGAAATGACTTTTCGAACAACCCGATATTACTTAACTATTTCAGAAAGATGTGCTGTCATTTAAAAACTGGTTTACGCATTTTCTGTTTTACTTGCGGCGCTCTTCATCGGTTCAAATGTACGCCAGTCTGCATGAATTAATGCGTAGAAATTGCAGCGTCGCATTAGAAGACGCGACGGATTTTAAGCGCATCAAGTAGGTGTAAACGATTCCCTTTTTTCATTCCGACTGTCATTTTTTTTTTTCGTCTTTTTCTTCTATAGTACGTGTAACATGTAATTTGATTGGCAAGTGCGTTGTTGTTGTTGGCAACTATTTAATCGCCTGATTTATATCAGAGGAGCGCGTGATGTATAAGTTGACATGCGTATAATTAGCGAGTGCTCTGATGAATATTTTTGGGATGCGTTACTTATATATACACATTGTGGTCGGGCATACAAGTAAACGTAAAGAATAAAGTGCATACGGCGGACGTGTAATAATTTATTCAATTTGAATGTTTAGGCTTGTACAGTTAATTTTGAATTAAGGTTAACAGAAATTAATTGCGCTTGTTGTAAATCTGCGCGAAGGAGGGATGGCTATCCAAAATTAAACAAAGGAAGAGCAACAACAAGAAGAAATAATTGAATCTTTGTTATAAATACTTGCCATTCTGAAAACATTTGCTTCGAATATCCAAGGCTACTTCATCGAGTGAATTTGCTAGTAGATAACTCACACCTAGGGTTCCGCATCAGAATGGTACATTGGAACCTTAATACTGGGCTAAATGAAGAAGAGAAAGCAATTGTTATAAGTAACTAATCATTAGAACGCCTAATTATAAGATGGAAGGTTAAACATTATCTTGGCGTGATTTTGAAATTATTGAAATACGTTATGGGTTATCCATGGTACCCACCAAAGGTTTAGGTAAGCTTATGATGCAAATTGTTTCTATAAATTGCATCAACCCATTACAAAGGTACCGCCTAATTCTCGACAGGTTACAGCTAGCAACTATCATAAATATTTAAACAATACGAGAAAGGTAAAGTAAATATACTTAAAAATGTAGGGATGAGTTACAGGGATAGATGGGTGATACTTAGTTTGTATAAAGAGCAACATGCAGTTATAGTAGGGATGCAAATATTAGGAAGGGCGTCAGTCAGGGATGCAAACTGTCATCGCTATTTTTTAATTTATACATCGAAGACGCGATTAACAACATTAAAGACAGTACAACTGTAGGTATAGATATACAGGGGCAAAAGATTAGTATGCTTAGATTAGCAGATGATATAGCAGCATTAACATCTAGCAAGAAGGAGTTACAGATAGCTTTAAATAAAATGGAATCGGTATTGACAAAACAGTATTGTATGAAAAAAAATAAAAGTAAAACAAAAATACTGGTTTGCAATGGAAGAAAATGTTAGCAAAGAGCGAATATTAAGATAGAAGACGAAAAATTAGAAGAAGTGGCTGATATTAGGTATCTAGGAAGTCAGATAAGTCAGGACGGAAGGAGTAGTAGGGATATAAAGCTGAGGATAGCGCAGGGTCGTGTCGCCTTCAATAAAAAGAAGTTACCTCTATGCTCGCTTCACGGTAAATTTAGAAATTCGAAAAAGATTGTTAAAGTTGTATGTTTGGAGCATTGAGCAAACATTCGAAATGTGATGTTACGGGCGATTTATGACGATACCGTGGATAGAGAAGGTTAGACAGAATGAAGTTTAAATCAATAAGAAATAGGCCAGATAGGTTGGTAGGATACCTTCTCAGGCATGAAGGGATAGTTCGAAACATGTTAGAATCAGAAATAGGAGTTAAGAGAAGTAGAGGTAGACCTACATTAAATTATTGTTCGCAAATAGTTAAGGATGTGGGATGTTCTAGTTTTATAGAAATGCGAAGATTATTTTAACCAGTCTTAGGACTGACGACCTTATGATGATGATGATAAAGGAAAAGTGGCAAATAAATTGCAATGTTTTTCTCGGGATTTTCCACTATGGTTTGATACTATTAGGAACCTTGCTTTGCCGGCAGACGTTTCGCTAGGGTAGTAAAGTACGTCAGGGAATAGTGAAACGTTTGAAAAATAGAAAATTCTATAGATGTCGGAAAATGTGTGAAAACTTGCAGAGGTAAATTAGAAGTAGTACGTAATGCGGGAAGAGTTTGTTATTGTGATTTTTTTAAATTCATTTGAAGAATGACTTCTTCCCAAAAGAGCCAGTTTCTTACTTATTGTACTCTGGTGAAGATTTGTTAGTTCACGTGTTCACGAACTGTTTTGCGTAACGTCGTTATACATTCAGATGTTTACAATGCAGTAAAATTAGTGCAAATGTCCGGTGATGATAATTAAAGAGGGTCATCGATGTTTTCGAACGACGATCAAGGCGTCGGTTGTTATTGGGATGGGGCCCGGCAGGAACCTGGAATTTTGCCGTTTTTAGTAGCGCAACTCAATGATATGATAATGAACAAAGGTAAAGGATATTAATTCGAGAATTATAGCGTTTTATGGATATAACGTCCGCTTTTATGGTTCTTTATGTGATACAGATGATTGGTTAGTATGGGCCGAGGTCTCCGTCGAGCCATTTAACGGCTCCTACAACGGCCGCCTCAACCTGGCGTAATTAAATCGGTTATTTGTGTACGACAAATTTGCATTTTAGATATCGAAAACGTTGTTGGTCTTTATTTAGATTTCTACCTCGCGTCCCGTGCATCTTTATGTGTGCGATATCATATTTTCCGGACGGGAGTGCAAGGAAATATGCCATTGTGTCCGGACGTTGTATAAAATACCGAAATGGAATACGAATCGACCGCGTTTTTGTTCCGAACAAGTCCGAGTTCAAATTATGACCGTAAAAATATTATCCTGCTCGTCCGTACACTTTATTATATTGTGTGTGTCTGTGTGTGTACCTTTATTAAGCATCTGATACTACCAACTTTATTTACATTACACCTTTTACTTAATTTTAACGTCATAATCGCAATAAAAATATGTAAATTATTTATTCTGTACAGCGACACCACTGACTGTGGCATAGTGTAGGTATTCAGGTGTAGACGTATTTTAGGGTAGCTCCAAAGAAGATGGTTGCTTTGACTTTATCATTTAAAGTTGAATATTCTTTGCCGAAACTGCAGTATTTTCGAATCGTATAGAACTCATTAGATATATCATCAAAACTTGACCATTTTTGTCAAAATTGACACAACAACCCCGAGGTAAAAATGTTCAGTCTCTCAAAGTCTCTGAAAGCGAGACTCGAGTCTCCGTCTCTCATCGAGTCTCTTTGGTGTCGCTGAGAGAGACTGTCGAAAGACTGTCAAAAAAACTGTTTAGCGTCTCTGAACGAGAGACTCGAGTCGCTAATAGAGAGATGAGATCCTCATTTCGTAAACAATATCTGAACGAGAGATTCGAATCTCTCAATAAGTGGTGTCTCGATAGACATGGTTAAAATTTTAAATGTTCAACATATTTCAGATATCTCAGTCTTTCAACGAGAAACTCGAGTCTCTCAATTTTTCAGTTTTGTTCATTGAGTCTCTCTGTGAGAGAGTAAAATCAATTTTTGAGAGAGTAAAATCAATTTTTCCATATACAATTAATCCATGAATGACGATGACGACCTAGATAGTGGATAATTTGTGGCTGACAGGCTCAATATACTATAATTAGTTGAATAGTATTGAAATGCTTGCCAGTGAACCCGAATGTACAATACCTATTGTCGCCTGACAATAACTGATACAGTTCGAATCAACTATTAAAATAAAATGATAATCGAAGTAGATTATTACGTATGGATGTATAACTTATGATTACACAAAAGATTATCAAACTGTCGCTATGTATTTGCTGAATTTGTTTGTAGTAAGTCTTAATGTCTTTTGATTTTTAAATGTTTGCATTCGTACACAATACGTTGTTTACCTCCAATAAGTGTCAAGCTTGCAAGGAGTTTTACAAAAAATTAAAATTAGGTAAATGTTTGTATGCCCAAAAGTTCACCGTTTTCGACAGAAACGTAAATGAAGATATAGGAAAGTTCAATTCCTGCCCTGGCATAGAAATACGGCCCGTAACGCTGCACTCAATCAGCTGATCCATTACCAGTTGATTGCAGTATTTGTTTTATTATTTATGTATTGTTTATCTAGTAGATTAAATTAAGTGTGATTCAGTATGTTTGTGCTAACAGCCAACCTCCAATAGGTCCCAAAATAGTACATGCAAAATGGCCGGAAACATTGGCATGTGACAGTTTACACTCTCTATCATGAAGTTGCAAAGTTTTTATCGCACTACGTTATTCGGTAGACACCAATTCACGCACAGGACCGGCTTCGGATTTTAAATTATTGTGATTTTCTTTTTGTTTTGCCTCTACCCATGTTGCTGAACTCACCGGGCGATTGTTTATTGCAACAAAAGTCGTAAAGGTTGAATGTAGCAAAGTTAATCAAAATTGTTGCTTGTCTAGAATTAACTAACGCATGTGTGGTATTAAACAACTTGATAGACTAACTGATTTTTCGAGCAACATTCACCTTTTACTAAAAAAGGAAAAGCTTGTACTTTTTTGCATATATAATTTTCGGTAGCTTTCATCAATAAGACCGTTGAAGCAAACTTTGTAGTTACAGTCAAGGGATTGTTTAAAATTCTTGTTAACAAAAAGGGTTAGCTGGTAACCATCGCAATAACTCCATATGTTCATATAATTTTACGGCAATATTCCTTCTTCATCCACAACTTTAAATAATCTTCATTAAATTTAAAACACTGTAAATGTCTATAACAAAGAACCAAGTTTGAATTGCTTAGAGAGAACGAATAATAAATAATCCATGTGGTACCTTTGTCCAATACCTGACGCTAAGCGCTTTTTGAAAAATAATAAATATATCTATAGTTATGTTTATTTCGGTTTCTGGATTCTCGTTATTGGAAGAATCGTTTAGGTTTGTTATTACCGTGGGGGTAAAGGAGAATGACAGTTATCGCTATTTACTACAATCCCCGGCGATCTTCTACACAACCGGTATCAACAGTTCAATATTTCAGATCCCGATCGGCGTTTACTTTTATTTCCTTTTTGTTCTGTTTTGAGAACGAGACGATACCGCAGATATTGTCGTAACTGTAAAAATAAACTGCCATTCCGTCGCTTAAAAAAGAAAAAGATATCCATTATCAATATGTTATTAACTCCATTAAATATGATTGCTCTTTGTGTTATTTGGAATTAAAGAAAATTGGTTCTTTTTTTTCGATTATGAATCGAATGAATGCTATTGTGTAGTTTTGGGGATATCGAAAGTAATAAATAGTGATTATTATATATGTTACGGTTAATCCTTATGCTTATCTGGTTAGTTTGTAAACTAGCTGGATAGTACAGATAGTAAAGCAAGAAAGGTGTTTTTTGGCAGATGATATATGGCCATATGAATCGTTTTAATTTTTAAATGCCCATAGATTTGTAATAAAAGTAAAACAAAAATACTGGTTTGCGAGGGAAGAAAATGTAGGGGAAGAGCGAATATAAAGATAGGAGACGAAAGATTAGAAGAAGTGGCTGATTTTAGGTATCTAGGAAGTCAGATACGACGAGGTTTTTGACCTCCTCATTTGAGGTGAAGGTTTTACCGTCTAAAAAATTTTGGAGTGACCGGAACAAATAATAATCCGATGGTGCCAGGTCTGGAGAATATGGTGGGTGTAGCATTGTATCCCATTCAAGCTGTAAAAGCTTTTGGCGAGTGACCAAACTTGTGTGAGGTCTCGCGTTGTCTTGGTGAAACACTACACCTCTCCTGTTGATTAGTTCTGACCTTTTCTGTTGAAGTGCATCATTCAGTTTGTCCAGCTGATGACAGTAGACTTCCGA